TATATACGTAAGTAACACTACTCTCTCTCTCTCTCTCTCTCTCTCTCTCTCTCTGTTTTGTAGGAGCTCGCACAAATAGAAAAATGGCACAGGTTTCTCTCGTTTCCATCCTAGTGTTTTGGTGATCGCAGATAAAACAAAAAAATGGAGGGAGACCGCGATGAGTAAGAGACTCATTTTTTTCCAGATAAAACAAGTACTGTGAGAATTTCTTGCAAGAGAGGTAACACATAATTCAACCAAGAAGGTTAGATGTCTGGAATCCTCTTAAATGTAAGGTCAAATGTACAACTGTGTACCGTTGAATAGCATTGAAGTATAATATGAATTACTTTGAAATTCCTCATGAAGCCATGACTTTTTTGAAGAGGTAAATGATGTGAAAATTTCTCTTTGCTGGTCCTGGATATGTTTCTTCCTTTTTTATAATAATAAGTAGACATCGATTTCATCAAATTAGAGAGTTGAAAGTTACACTTGGTACGTATTGCCTTGTGTTGTCAACGTCAGTGCCACCCATTATAATATCCAATAATTCTGATTAACTCCTGCTGCTTGTGGTCTGATTGATTTTCTGGAATATGACTTGGGTCTGGTTTATGCCCTGCGAGTAATGTGATTCCCAGGAGTAATCCTGAAATTCGATTGAGAAGAATGAGAAAACACACAAAGATTAAGAGAGAGAATGTGGAGGGAAAAGAGAACTCTGCTGATTGGAGTGAGGTGGGTGTTTCACTTACTTTAGGTTGATTCCTGTTTTCTGCGTCAAACTGAGAGGCATTGAGCCCTTTAAATTGTTGTTTTGGAGGAAGCTGCAATAAGTACACGACAATCAGCATAGGAGTTTCCAAAAATCAATGGACTATTCTCTGTCATCTGTGATTTCTCTTACATTTCTTGGAGGTTGTCAAGATACCCCCATGACCGAGGGATATTCCCACCAAAATTGTTGTTTTCCAAATGCCTGTAAAAAACACAAATTCAGGCCATAGCAAGTCTCTGGACATGTCCTCTAGATTAGTACCAGTCATCTTATTTAAATAGAGATCTACAAAGTTCAGGGGAAGTAGAAAAGATGACAAGAAAGTAATGGTTGGATGCCTTGGAAGCTTACAAGGAAACCAGTTCTTTCAGAGGTTTCAGATCCGGAAGCGACCCCGTGAGGTTGTTGTTACCAAGCCAACTGCAAAATCATTACCACATGAAATTTTGTAGAAACTCAGTACCTCTCCTCTCCCTCCCCCTCCCCCTCCCCCT